GTGTCGAGAACTGGCTGGAGGTGACACTTGAGGGAGGGGGAGATCAATGGTTCGGATTTTCAAATATACGTCCCAATTTTTTTTCACAACTTTTCTACGAATAAAATATTAATACACCCACTTACAAACTCTCCATCAGCGCAGTTTAGATATTTTTTTTACCACAAGAAACTGTATTAATTATTAAGCAAGAAGCCTTTGTAACGCCAGTCGTTATGAGTGAAATGTAATGTATCTGTGCGAACTATTAAGAATTCCCGCCTGCCGGATGTTCTTCCAATATGCTGAGCAATTTGTCGGTCGTCTCTTACGGGTTTAAAGTTTCGCTGATTCACGAGTTTGTTCGACCAAATTCTAAATAATAATAATACAAAAACGAACATAACGTTATCTAATATAACAAAACGGAGAGTAACTCAATTTAATATGACGAAACCGAACGTAATTCAATTTAATATAATTGAACGTAACGTAACTCAATATAATATAACAAAGTGAACGTAACTCAATATAATATGACAAAGTGAACGTAGCTCAATATAATATGACAAAGTGAACGTAACTCAATACAGTATAATATAACAAAGTGAACGTGACTCAATATAATATAACAAAATTGTATTCTGGGTTTTAACTCAATGGGATTTTTTCACCATGGTATTTTGTTCAGTGAAAAAATATTCAGTGGGTATTTTTTCCAAGGAGACCTAATCCAATGGGAATTAATCCAGTGGATTTTTGTCCGATGGGGCTTAAACCAATGGGTATTTTGTCCAGTGGGTACTTTATCCAGTGGGGATTTAGTCCAATGAGAATTTTGTTCAATAGGGATATTATTTGCACAATGCCTTTCACCTTTCACAATACCCTGGTCAATATCTGGTCCACCTGGGGAAGGCGTCAAGGTCCGCTGGTTCTCAATGGCCGGACCGAGCGTGTGATTAATAGTGTGGCCAGATTATATAGTGATCAGTGGGGGTAGTGATAATGACGTCATTGTGTGATGGTGAGCACTCATTATCCTCCTACACTTAATACATATAGATATACATATACAATACATAAAATAAACACAACTTACTCACACACACACACACACACACACACACACACACACACACACACACACTGATCATCCTCCGACATTTGGCAAAATCCACGCGCATGTGGGTTATGGCGTACGTTTGATTGGTCCCTAATCGCCGTGATATCAGTTAAAGATTGGCAAATTCCACGTGCATTAGGGTATGGTGTGAGGAGATTGGTTATTGTTCACTGTGACGTCAGCTGAGGATTAGTAAAGTCCACTCGTATGCGGGTAAAGTGTGTGCTGATTGATCTGAACACCATCGAGTCCAACAATACTGTAGTTTTCTATTGGTCAATTTTGGATAATTTTATTGAAGTAAATTAATGAATCACAAAAGAAAGAGAAACAATGGACGATAATAAAAGCAGAGGCTTGGGTAAGTTTGGTGAGCCCACATACAGCGTAGCCCCGGCAGACAGGCAGACTGGCACCGACACTGCAACTACTACCACCACTACTAACACCGCCACTACCATTACTGCCACCACTACTACTACCACTACTACCACCATTACTGCCACCACTACTACCATTACTGCCACCACTACTACTACCACCACTACTACCACCATCACTACTACTATCACTACTACTACCATCACTACTACTACCACCACTACTACCACCACCACTACTACCATTACTGCCACCACTACTACTACCACTACTACCACCATTACTGCCACCACAACTACTACCACCACTACCATTACTGCCACCACCACTACTACTACTACTACACCACTACTAACACCGCCACTACTACTACCATTACCACCACCACTACTACCACCACTACTACCTACCACTACTAACACCACTCCTACCGTACTGCCACCACACTACTACCACTACTACTACACTACTACTACCTACTACCCACTTTCTACCACCGCCACTACTACCATTACTACCACCACTACTACTACCCTACTACCACCATTACTGCCACCACAACTACTACCACCACTTCTACCACCACCACTACCACCACTACTACTACCACTACTACCAACACTGCTACCACCATTACTGCCACCACAACTACTACCACCACCAATACTACGACCACTACCACCACCACTACTACCACCACTACCCCCACCACTATCCCCACCACTACCACTACTACTACCACCACTAGTACTACCCCCCACCACTACCTCCACCACCACCAGCTCGGCGACCCAGGGAATCAATATATCCTGGTCGGCCCTGGAATGGTGAAGAGGGTGCCAAAAGTCGCCAGCTAGAACGATACTGTCATTCCCATTCGATTCCCATTTAGGAATTTGAGGAATTTCTTTTGTTAGTGAACAGTTGTTTTTATTCTTGTTGTCATGGGTAAGGGAGGTACTGGATGTTGTTTTTGAAGGAGTGTAGTTCCGGGTCGTGGTATGGATGGTTTTGTTTATATAAGCTGCGGTGTCTGGAAGCCCATTGTGGCCATCAGGCACTTAGAGCCATTTTTCCAGGCTGTAAATATAACAGATATGGGCAAGTGGTGGGCCATTGGGGGGTGTACCTCATGGCCCTTGTATTACCTCCTTGTGTTCTCTTATGAATAACTTCATCTGACGGAGACAAGGAAGAAGGATTTATAGGCGACCAGCGACGTCCATCAAGGTTCTTTACTGACGGGGGGAGCCAGCGCCAGCCACCAACACCTCATCTTACTCTCCAGTCCACATATTGTGCTTATTGAAGCCTCGTCAGATAATGCTTCGTCTGACATACCTTCATAACACAACAACATAACTATGGGAACTACGCCAGACAAGCGTTCGTGTCACTTTTACACTTTGAGCTCATCAAAATCTTCGCCAGTGTCATCCATCTTTTTTTTTCAGCCCGGAATGACACGACTATGAAAACTACGCCAAGCAAACGTTCGCCCGCCTTCTGCTAGCAGTGGCACTCTTTGATGTTACGAGCAATTACTACTGGGACAACTTGACGACGAGGACCCCTCCAGCGCCTCCCTGTGTTTACCCTCCCGGCTGTTGACGTGAGGCCGTGTTTACTCCCCCTCTTATCTGGAAGGTTTTGGCTGCTGGGGAGGCAAGGCTAGGAGACGGACAGGTATGGCTAGGAGGGCGAAGCTAGGAGACGGACAGGTATGGCTAGGAGGGAAGGACGGCCATATCAGCTTGGGATAAGATAGGGTGGACAGTAAGATGAATAAGCTTGAAACAGAGAGAATAGGGCCAGGTGGTTAGAGGGTGAAAAGGGAGGTACCAAGAACTCGGATGGTTAGACAATTGAGGGTGATCATGGGAGAAAGATAAATACGAAGGAGAGTGGATAGTGAATAGAAGGATGAGTAGATATGGCTAAGAGGGTGGTGGTGGTAGAGGAACAGGTAAGGCTAGGAGGGTGATGGTAGTAGAGGAACAGGTATGGCTAGGAGGGTGATAGTGGTAGAGGGACAGGTATGGATGAGTCACCTGGTGAGGGATCGTGTACATGCAAGGGGCTCTGGGAAATGGTAATGAAGGATGGTGTTTGTCTTGAAGTACCTCCTCTCTCTCTCTCTCTCTCTCTCTCTCTCTCTCTCTTTATGTCTGTTTGTCTGTCTGTCTGTCTTTCTCCTCTGTGCATCGGCCTTCTTCTGTTTGTCTTATTCTTTTCTTCACTGTCTGTCTGTCTGTCATTTTTTCTACACCATTCCTCCTTTTCTTCATTTTAAGGAGAGAGAGAGAGAGAGAGAGAGAGAGAGAGGGGCTCACCAGGTACACAACAACACTCACCTGTGTATAACCCAACACCTTCCTACTTAAGGTTGTAACAACTGATAAACACAGCCGGACCAAAACAACCACAACCAACACAGAGAGACACCATCAGTATCTCTAACATGTTGTACGAGACGATTAGAGGGGCAGGGGGGGAGGGGCATGGTGCAGGAGGAAGGGCAGGGGGAGAAGGGGCATGGCAGGAGGAAGGGCAGGGGGGAAGGGGCATGGTGCAGGAGGAAGGGCAGGGGGAGGGGCATGGTGCAGGAGAAGAGGCAGGGGGGAGGAAGGGGCAGGGGAGGAAGGGGGCATGGTGCAGGAGGAAAGGGCAGGGGAAGGGGAAGAGGCAGGGGAGGAAGGCAGGGGGGAGGGGGGCATGGTGCAGGAGGAAGGGCAGGGGGGGAGGAAGGCAGGGGGGAGGAAGAGGCAGGGGGGAAGAAGGAGGGGGGGAGGAAGGGGGCATGGTGCAGGAGGAAGGGGCAGGGGGGAGGAAGGCAGGGGAGGAAGGAGGTGCAGGAGGAAGGGAGGCAGGAAGGGGGGAGGAAGGGGCAGGGGAGGAAGGGTATGGTGCAGGAGGAAGGGGGTATGGTGCAGGAGGAAGGGGCGGGGGGGAGGGGCATGGTGCAGGAGGAAGAGGCGGAGGAGATAGTGCAGGAAGAAGAGGAAGGAAGAGGAAGGGAGTAGGAGGAGGGGTGGTTGAGGAGAAGAGGAAGGAGGAGGAGTAGGTGGTGCAGGAAGAGGAGATAAGGCATGGTCCGACAGGTGGTATAGGGCCTTCACTCCTATGGGTCCCCTCCTACCAACTAATCTTTATAATAGGGACCCATTAACATCAAGGTCCATTGAACTGGGGCCTATTAAGACTGGGACCCACTAGAACTGGGCTAGAACTAGGGTCCATTAATTAAGGGCCCTGGGACAGGACTCAATGAGATTGGGGCCATTAGAACTAGGGGCCCATTTGGACACTCAACAGAGGCGTGGGACGTGACAAGTAATCCATCAACTCACTGCGACAAATTGCAGGCTGTGTGTTTGTGTGTGTGTGTGTGTGTTGTTGTGTGTGTGTGTGTTGTTGTGTGTGTGTGTGTGCGTGTGTGTTGTGTGCGCGCAGGGGGGTGTGCGTGAAATACCTAAGCAACAATAGAGTGTGCACGATCACTGTTGCAACTTACCTTGATTGATGGGGTTGGCTTGGCTCACACACAACAGGTCTTCTGGTTGTCGAGAATCCTTTTGTGATGTAAAAAAAATAAATAAATCTCTTGAAATCCGCACTTGGAAAAAATCCCTTTACTCTTGGACACAAAATCCTGTAGCTGTGAATATATATGTCACCAACACAATGAAATCACCAAACAGCCATTCCTGTACTGTGGCAAGTATGTGGCGTGCGTCTCGGGTCACCAACAACACAGACTGGTGGTGCCCTGAACACGAACACCTCAGTCTTCTCCTTATTGGATCCCGTGGGGCACCAGCGCCTACAGGAGAGAGACTCACTACAGAAGACACATAGATGTTAACAGTCGCTTGTGTACGTGCGTGAGGGAGGGACGGAGGGAGGAGGAGGAGGTAGAGAGAGAGAGAGGGCGGTCCGCAGTCGACCCTCCCAAGTGTACACAGGAACACTGGCGTAGTCTAGGCTCCCCCTCACACCACCACCACCACCACCACCACCAGGCACGCGCAATGAGGCCAGGGCGTGGTGCTCCCTCTGTGTTGGTCACGCTACTGCTGCTGTGGTTGTTGTTGCTGCTGTGGTTGTTGCTGCTGTGGTTGTTGTTGCTGCTGTGGTTGTTTTGCTGCTGTGGTTGTTGTTGCTGCTGTGGTTGTTGTTGCTGCTGTGGTTGTTGTTGCTGCTGTGGTTGTGGTTGCTGCTGTGGTTGTTTTGCTGCGTGGTTTGGTTGGTCGGTTTGCTGTGTTGTTTGTGTTTTTTGCTGCTGTGGTTGTTGTTGCTGCTGTGGTTGTTGTTGCTGCTGTGGTTGTTGTTGCTGCTGTGGTTGTTGTTGCTGCTGTGGTTTGTTGCTGCTGTGGTTGTTGTTGCTGCTGTGGTTGTTGTTGCTGCTGTGGTTGTTATTTGCTGCTGTGGTTGTTGTGCTGCTGTGGTTGTTGTTGCTGTGGTTGTGGTTACTGTTGTGGTTGTTGTTGTGGTTGTTGTTGTTCTTGTTGTTGCTGCTGCTGCTGTTGTGGTGTGGTTGTTGTTGTTACTGTGGTGGTTGTTGTTGCTGTGGTTGTGGTTGATGTTGTGGTTGTGGTTGCTGTTGTGGTTGTGTTTGCTGTTGTGGTTGTGGTTGCTGCTGTGGTTGTTGCTGCTGTGGTTGTTGTTGCTGCTGTGGTTGTTGTTGCTGTGGTTGTGGTTGCTGTTGTGGTTGTTGTTGCTGTGGTTGTTGTTGTTCTTGTGTTGCTGCTGCTGCTGTTGTGGCGTGGTTGTTGTTGTTACTGTGGTGGTTGTTGTTGCTGTGGTTGTGGTTGATGTTGTGGTTGTGGTTGCTGTTGTGGTTGTGGTTGCTGTTGTGGTTGTGGTTGCTGTGTGGTTGTTGCTGCTGTGGTTGTTGTTGCTGTGGTTGTTGTTGCTGTGGTTGTGGTTACTGTTGGTTGTTGTTTGCTGTGGTTGTTGTTGTTCTTGTGTTGCTGCTGCTGCTGTTGTGGTGTGGTTGTTGTTGTTACTGGTGGTTGTTGTTGTTACTGTGGTGGTTGTTGTTGTTGTGGTTGTTGCTGTTATGTTTCTATTGTTGTTGCTACTGTGGTGGTGGTTGTTGTTGCTGTGTTGTTTTTGTTCTTACTGCTGTTGTTATGTTGTTGTTGGTCTTACTGCTAGCATGTTATTGTTGTCACCATCACCACCATCACCACCATCACATCACCACCATCACCTCATCACCATCACCACCATCACCACCATCCAACACCATCACCACCATCACCACCATCATCCACCATCCCACCATCACCACCATGACCACCATCCACCATCACCACCAGGCATGTTGTGTGTTGACTGCCTCTAACCTCACTCAACCTCACCCTCCGACCACCTAACCATTCTCTCCTTCTATCCATTCTCCCTATCCTATATCTTCCTCCTCCTTTCGTCTTCACCCCCACACACACCCCGTGGGATAAATAATGTATTTGTCATCTCAGGTGTTGATGGTGAAGGAGATAGCAGGTATCTCAAGAGTCGTGTTTACTGAAGATAAGACTAAGTGGTAATGGTGCTGGTGATATTGTGCGGCTCGTTAACACCTGTAGTACCTGGTGTTGTGTGTAGGGGAGGAGGAAGGAGTCGCTAGAAGAGGTGGAAGAGGAAGGGAAAGGTGAGGATATTGAAGGAGAAACGGATTGGAAGAGGAGAGGGAAGGGAATGAAAAGATGGGAGAGGAGGGATAGGAAAGGTAGGAGTAAAGGGAGGTGGGGGAGAGAGGATGAGGAAAAAGAAGAAGGGAAGAGAATAGGGGGTAGGAGAAATGATGGAGGGTGGAAAGGGGGGAGGAAGGTAGGGAAGGGAGAGTAGAGGTTGAGTTAAGGTGAGGAGGGGGAAGGGAGGCTATTAAATCTTATCTATCTATCTATCTATCCTATCTATCTATATAACTATCTCTATCTGTCTATCTATCCATTTATATAACCATCTTATCTATCAATCTATTTATATAACATCATATATATATCTATCTATCTTATATCCATACCACTTTCATCACTTTGCCGTCACTATCATCACCATCATCTCATTGTCTCTCCTTTCTCTCCTTCTCTCCCTCTCTACACCTGTCAATCCCTCATCATATCTGAATTATTCCTATTTAGCGCCCTTCTCTCCCCTCTCTTCCTCTTCCCCTCTCTTTACCTTTCATTATTCACCTTCATCATGCTCTGTTATCCCTCATTATTCCCGTCTCCCTCTTCCATCTCTGAGAATGGTTTTACGGTACGTTGGGGTCGGCTTTCCTTCTTTAAGTGAGAGAGAGAGAGAGAGAGAGAGAGAGAGAGAGAGAGACCTGACCTCACCTGGTGTTTGAATATAGGTCACATATAACAGAGAGAAGGACATTGTAATATATCTATCATTGTCTTATTCATCATAAAGATTATAAAACAAAAACAAAATAATTCCCAATAAAACAATTTTCTTATTACAAGTTCTCAACCCACAAATCAATTTCATCCCGTGTCGGTAGCGGGTTCAGGTAAAATGACCCAATGGCACATCACAAACCTGACTCCTCTAAACATCAACTGGCTTTAATTCAGTCTCTCTTTCGCTCTCTTTCCTTCTCTCTCTATCCTTCCATACCATTAACCATTATTAGCGGCCTCTCTCTCTTCCATTAGTCGTTATTGTTCATCCTCCCGTTCCCATTACCCATTATACCGAGTAACCACATTGAGGCCGCCAGCACGCAATGGGAAAAGGTGATGGGGTGAGAGGCTGTCGTCTCCCGGACAGCCAGAGACCTCAGATATAAATCAGCTGATTCTCTGGTCCGTGTAAACTGTTCTATTAAACACGATATTGATTATTTCTCACTGTTGTGGTTGGTTTAGGTCAGGTTAGGTTGGTCGGGTCAGGTCAGGTTAGGTTGTTAGGTCAGGTTAGGTCAGGTTAGGTCAGGTTAGGTTAGGTTAGGTTAGGTTAGGTTAGGTTAGGTCAGGTTAGGTTAGGTTAGGTTAGGTTAGGTCAGGTTAGGTTAGGTTAGGTTCGTTAAATAAACTGTACAAACTTAAAATATTACAATAATTAAATAGTCATTGCGGAAGAAAAAAGAAAAAAGAAAAAAAGAAAAAAGAAAGAAGAAGAAGAAGAAGACACACACACATACACACACACACACACACACACACACACACACACACACACACACACACACACACACACACACACACACACACACATAAAGAGGAAGACCAGCATCACATATAATAGTGTTCCTTGAAGTAGTGGATCAGATTTCTGTAGTGGATGGGTCCGGTCCTGAGGGATGCTTGTGTATTTCTCAACGGGGGAGGAGGGAAGGAAGGAGGGAAGGGTAAGGAGAAAGTGGATGGGAAGGGGGTAGGGGGTATGAAGGGAAGGGTAAGGAGAGTGAAGGGGGCAGGGAGGTGAGTGGTATGAAGGAAGGGTAGAAAGGGAGGAGGGAAGGGAAGATAGGAGACTAATAATATATATAATAATAATAATAATAATAATAATAATAATAATAATAAAAACGACTATTGTTCAGGCACAGACTAAAAAAAAAGTAACTTGGGGGCCAGGGTTAAGAGAAGGGCGGGGGAGAATGAATTAAAGATAGGAAGAGAAGAGAACAGTGATAAAAAGGAAGGAGAGAGTAAACAGGATGAGAGAGTGAGAGAGGTGGATCATATATCAGAGGATGAATTGTGTTTCTGACCGAGTACCCCATTTATATGTGGGAGAGGAGGGGAGAGGTGAAGGGAGGAGAAGAGGAGGAGAGGTGAGGGAGAGGAGGAGAAAAGGTGAGACAGGGGAGAGGGAGGGAGAGTGAGAGGGAGAGGAGGGAGAGAAGGTGAGGGGAGAGGGAGGGAGGTGAGAGGGAAGGGGAGCGAGGAGGGAATGAGACGGGGAAGGGAGGAAAAAGGAGAGGGAGGGAGAGGTGAGACAGGGAGAGGGAGGAAGTGAGGAGAAGGGATGGAAGGTGAGAGGGAGGGAGAGGTGAGACAGGGAGAAGGGAGAGGTGAGAGGGAGAGAGGGGAGGGAGAGGTGAGAGGGGAGGGAAGGAGTGAAGGGGGAGAAGGAGGGAGAGAGGTGAGAGAGAGGGGGAGAGGGAGGGAGAGGTGAGAGGGAGAGGAGGAGAAGGTGAGAGGGAAGAGGAGGAGAGGTAAAAGAGGGGAGAGGGAGGGAGAGGTGAGAGAGAGGGAGGGGAGAGGTGAGAGGGGAAGAAGGGAGCGAGGGAGGAGATGTGGAGACAGGGAAGGGAGAGAGGAGAAAAAAGGAGAGAATGTGAAAAGAGATGAGGAGAGGGAGGAAAAAGGAAAGGGGGAAGGAAGAGGAAAGGAGAGTTGAATGGAAGAGTGGGAGAGGGGAGAGGGAAGGAGATATGAAGGAGGAGGATTTGAGAGAATGAGGAGAGGGAGGCAGGAGGAGAATGGGGAGGTAAGTAAGAACAAATATAGGAAGAAAGGAAAGAGGTAAGAGAATAAGAAGAGGGAGAGAAATAAGGGGAAGGAGGAGGAGGAGAAAGAAAGAAAGAAAAGAAAGAAAGAAAAAGAAAGAAAGAAAAGGGAGGAGGAGGAAGAGATAGGTGGGTACGAAAAATGATGGAGGTGGAATTGGTGATGAAGGCGGGGAGGAGGAGGAGGCTTTAAGGATGAGAGAGAGAGAGAGAGAGAGAGAGAGAGAGAGAGAGAGAGAGAGAGAGAGAGAGAGAGAGATCAAATAAACACATAAGACTGAATAAAGAAAACATCCTTAACTAAACCTGATGTATTTCAATAGAAGATAACAAAAGAATAAATTATAAACGAGAGACAGTAAAAAGCTTATAAAAAAATTGAAGACATTTAGACAAATATTTACAACAGAGGCAGAGAAAAAATCCTGTT